CCCCCATTAGCCGCCATCAACGGTGGAAGAGATAGAAACACAATCGTCACAGCCAAAGCAAGAACCCGCTAACACCACCACCACAGTCCTACAGCAAGAACCCACTTACACCACCTACTGGAGAAGAAGCAGAAAATAACTGGTCGAATTGAGGTAAGGCGAGCGCGCGAAGGGCTTGCCAGAGAAGACTAGAAATTCATATCGTGCCAATTTCCAATTCCCCATTGACCACCTCAACCTCTAGCCCTTCCACTGCCTCAAAACTAGGCAACACCACCTCAACTCAGCAGAAAATCGCAAATCCAACCAATAATAAAATTAAACAGTGCTCAAAACCTAAATCTAAAAACCTTTTGAGGTGGTAGTGTTGATTTTGAGGATATGTTCAAGGATGATGTTGATTTTGAAGCATTCACTCTCGTTTTTGTAATGCCATGACCAACATTGCCTTGGCTTCACAATGTGAGCATTTGATCGTAACACAATTAACATTTCCTTCTTTTGAGCTAGTGGTGCCTGGTTTCGAGTTGGTTGAGGGGCCAGAGGTTGTACCGACTGTGGAGGTGGAAGGTGACGGTGGCTTTTGGATTTGGTTCTGGGGTTAGGGTGGAAGGGAATGGTAGGGGGTGGTTTATGTTTTGATTTTTGGTTTTTAATTTAATTATTAATATTTTATAATTGTGATTTTTGTTGAAAAAATGTAAAGTTACAATTTTAGCTTTTTAAAATTAGTCAAAATTTTGGTCAATGTCAATTCTCTAGTCATATAACGGTCATACTAATAGAATCATCTATTTAGACTTCAAGTGAAAGTTTTTAAAAGAATATCATGGATAGTACAATTTAAACGTTTTGATCAAGTCTACATAAAAGTGATAGATTTGGTACCGTAACTGCAATTTTTCCTTCTATTTATTTTACTTCCATGGGCTATTGACAATAATTTATGAGACTATTACTTACAAACCTACAATTAAAGACTAGTTTCATAAACAATGAGATCACGTTTAAATTTCACATATCATGTGTTAATTAGGAATTACTAAATTAATTAATACACATCTTACCGTATCTACCCATTCAAATCCTAAAATCAAATTTCTCTCGTCTCCTCAGTCATCTCCATTCTCTCCACCACCAGATTCTCTACCCTTTGATTGTCGTCGTCACCCTCGATCATCACTGTAGCAAGTTCGCCTGATGTGAGCGCCATCGTTATTTTGTGCATAATATATGTGTTTTGAATGCTTCATGTTCTAAGAGGCAAATTTAATCTGTGATTGTAGTATACCTTAATATGTATTGGTTTTAAATACTTTATATTTTTATTATTATTGAATTATATTACTTATATTTATATTTAAAACAGTTATGTTAATTGATAATATATCTACACAAATCACTTATTTTTTCCAACTATTTAAAATTGTGTTACCTTCTCTTCGTGCAGCAACTTTTGACACTATACGGCTCTAAGATAAAACCCATGTAGCTTACAGCTGATTCTCCTTCTATGAGTACGACCATAGGGAGTTAAGTGAATGAACTTTTATCAAGTTGCAAAAACTATAAAAATAATATATAGTTGCAGAGAGTTTAAAGTTATGTTTAATCCGATGAAAATCAATCCATTTTATAGGAAGAAATTTACACCCACATTCATAAAAATAAATCATATTTAAGTATAAGTTATAATTTAAATTATGAGATTTAATTTAATATTAATAGTTAATATTAGAATCAAAACTGAAAATTAATATTTATTGTGAAAGTTTAAAACTTTTTAAAAAATGTTACAACACCAAATTGTTCATAGAATATATGCTCAACAAAATGATTTGACGGTAGCGGATTTGACGGTGGCGCAGGTGATGGTGGATCAACGACAATGGTGTGCGGTGATGGTGGTGGATTTGACGGTAGCGAATCTGGCGATGGCTGTAGTTTTAGCGAATCTGTGAATGAGTGTTGGTTAGACATGGTGGTGGTGGGGGTGGCAATGATGGCAGTATGGTAATGGCTGTTGTAGGGTGTTATCGATTTTGTAGCTAATTTGTTGGTGGTGACCGGGCTGCCGTGAATGAGTGTTGGAATTAGGAATACTAAGGTGAGATTGAGTTTTTGAAACGGGATGACTGATTTTTGTTAGTAGCAGTGGCGATGGATGTGGCGGTTGGAGCGATGCATCTGGTAGTCGTGGTCTTAGTCTTGGTCATAGTGTTGGCGTTGGTGGTGATGCTGTTAGGTTGTATTGATGGTGGTGTAGTGTAGTGTGGTGTGGTACCAATGGTTCCACAACTAGCAGTGCATGTGGTTCTGGTGAAGTGGTGTATGTTTGGTTACCGATGTTGGAACTGGTGGTGAGTGATCAAATCTATCTTCATTGTAATTGCCTGTAACCAGATTTGAGTTAATTGTGATCGTATGTGATTTGGTTACATATATTCACCAATTAGACTAATATGGTTATAGACAGTCACACCAAAGATAAATTTGGTCATGAACACATAAGATTACAGTTCATATGTTACAGGTCACAATTCACCATTAAGGTCACAGTTCACTAGTAACATATTTTGGTTTACAAGTAACAGTCATTTCATATAAATCATAAATCAAAGTAAAAAGGTCACGGATCAATATTAACGGTCACATGTTGTTTTGTAGAAGTCACGAATCAAATTTATGGGTCAAATTTTATGTTATGAGTCACAAGTAACAGATCACAGGTTAAAAATCATATTTTATGTCACAATGTACACAGGTCACTGGTTATTGTAAAAAAAGAAAAAAAAAGAATTGTGAATTTAATATATTTAATTACAAAAATATTTTTTGATTAATTATTTCATAACTAAAATTTTAATAATTTTTTATTTTTGAAATTTCAAACTTTATTTCTTAATTTTGAAATTTATCATAATCATATTCATTCTACTTGATTAAGTCACAGATTCAATAGACCTAGTCACAGATCACAATGTGCACATGTTACAGATTTAATGGAACTGATCACAGGTCATTGTCGAAAAAGTAGAAAAAAGAAAAAGATAGTCGTCGGAATGGTGAGCGGTCATCGGAATAGTCGTCAGAGCTATTATCGAGAGGTCGTCGGAATATTCATCGAAGCGGTTGCTGAAGTAGTCGTCGGAGGTGGGGGTAGGGTCAACTGTGCAGTGGTTAGAGGTGGGGTGGAGAGAGAAAAATAAGGATTTGATGTGATGGATGGGTGGGTGGGTTAGAGTTGGGGTGGAGTAAATAGATTAATTATATTATATTATAATTAAATATTTAATTATCACTTGATTTTTGAAATTTTTTTAGAAATTTGTTAATTTGGAAATATGATTTTTAAATGTTGGATTTATGTGGTGTTCCTATCATTTATACATTAAGCCCCTGTTTGAGCCACATTATTGTAAAAATGAGAATGAAAAATATAATCATTATGGGCCTCACACTAGAGATAAAAAAGTTAAATATGATGATCTGATGTGATGAATAAGGGTCACATTTTTCATTTTAATGATAAAATAATAGAGCTCAAACAGAGCCTAAAATGTTGTTATCTTCATTCTCAATAGGTGAAGTAGTAAAAGTCTCATTTCATTTAGATATGGAGATAAGAATGTACATAACTTATCTTATATTGAAAATAGCTATAATTGAAATACCAACTAAAATATTTCATCAGAAATAACAAATGTGTGTCGAGGACAGCTTGTCAAAAATGGTAGATTTAGATCATGTCCGGAAAGGTTTTTTTTATAAATGATTTAAATTATAAATAAATGGTTGATGTTTGTGAATTTCGTCAAATACATAATTTAAAAATGATTTTAGTATTTAAATAATTCATATGAATTATGCAAGAAGTAGCAGACACGTGTCAGGAAGATGGCAAATGTAGTTGATTTTCATGGGTTTTCAGACCAATACTCATGAAATAATTGACCAAAAATATCTCACCAACTAAAGCATGATAGCATTGTCTTGTCCTTTCATCATGTTATGCAGATGTAGGCGTGTGTATAAAATAATCAAGTGGAGGATTAGAGTTTTTGGACAACGTGGTTTTCAGTTGTCAATCTTTAAAAACGGAATAAGAAATGTGAGTTTGGATCTTGCATATAGAATTCGTCGTTATAAACGTCGAATTGCTCACAATTTTCACGTATTTATACATTAAGTGGTTTGACATTTTTGCACTTCAACTCTATGAAATCACGATGATGTTGAATGTTTCCCTATGTGCATTTAGAACTCACTTTTAAAGCTTAAGAGCTCAAAAATATTTCAAAAGTTAAAGAATTAACCTTAATTTTCACCATATGAACGGTTCACAACTTGAGGTCACATTGAATACATAAATACATTTAAGTCATACATTGTTGTTGTTATTATTATTTTTTACATCGATCTTAATTGGCCTTTCATCCCAACCACAATTCATCCATTCTGCTCGCACTTCTCAACATAATAATTGACTAACTATTGAATTACCTGCATTCTTTTTCTCAAAATATTACAATAGCTCATTTCCATTAATTGTTTTGCACAATAAAGTTCTCTCTAGAAGTGTCTTTTCTTTTTCATATCAATGATGATGTCCGACATGCCACGAGCTAACAATAAACTCAAGTACTTGCAGTCAAAATATTTGTCTTTCCACTGTAGTCCACATTTGATCCAAGTTAACTTCGAAAAAATCAGTATTCTAAAAAGCGTAAAACGTGACGAAGTGGCTAGACCAAACTTCGACCTAGACCCATATGCGTAAAAAGGCGAAAATTTTAAATTAATCTAAAAATTATTTAATAATTGAAGGAAAAAAAGAGTGTTAAAAAAAAACTTTAAAAAAACGTAAAAGCTTAAAAAAAGCACGCCTAGTCGTCTTGAAAAAGTTCGAGGCGAGGCATTTTGCGCCCACTTCGTACCTAGAACGCTTTTTTAAACACTTAAAAGAAACAAAGAACACCAACAAGTCTGCCTTATTTCAATATCAAGAACCAACATGTTGACCAACTCTCTCCCGATAATACCCATTAAATCATTCTTGAGAAACATTACTGTTACAATAAATGACAGATTAGGTACCACAATTATGAACATAATACCAAAAGAATGATACATTAGAAGGTCAACACCTACAGAAATTATAGAAAGCAATTCGTTAATATTAACCAAAAAAATTTTTGGACATCCTCCGCATGCATCAATGATAGCACCCATTACAAGATCAAGTTTTACCTGCCTATCCCAGTCCGGCAAACTTTTTGCAACTCACTACTTTGATGTCCACATTTCAACTCTCAACATATACCAAAAGGTTGAAGAGAATTTAGTCAAAAGGAAAAAACTTGCATCGGACTCAGCTCAAGCCTTCAACCTCAGCTCGCAAAGCGATTGTAGGCATTGTCATCTGTTGGGAAACTATATCTTTCGTCACTGTTGTGAATGGGTTTGGTTCCTCAAACCAGAATTGATCATTTTCATTGTTCTGTTCAAAACTATTCATGGACGTGGACGGACCTTTAGGTACTCTTTGGTGACTTGCACTTTCCGATAACCTTCCAGCATTCTCCAGACCACTTCTAATCCAGGCAATGTTGTTCAAGTCCATGGCTATGGCACTTAACTCCTGACTTGGAAAGGGGGAGATTTCTTCATATTCCAAAAATTCTGGCCCCAACAATGAGCTCATAGAAGAAACTCCACTGGAAGCTGCACAACAACCGCGGCCACAATGCATAGGGATTATGGACTCGCCACATGCACCATTAAGAAATTTGCAGATTCCAAAATCTGGTTTGGATGCTTGGATCAAAGGTCCCTGCATCGGGATTGCCCTTGAAAATGCAGAGTTGTGGCTAGGATTGCAAACATTGAAAGCACCTACTTTTACCGCTGGACAAGAAATCATGGGATTATTTTCTTCAGCAGAGGTATAAACCACAGGACAATTTTCTTCAGCACAGGGATAAACCACAGGAAGATTTTTTCCAGCAGAGGGATCAATTGTTACTGAATCAGAGGATAGATATTGTTTGGGAGCACAGCAGTTTCTAGTAGCTTGAACTTCATCTTCAGACTGCCAAGGTTGATTTGCCACCATTGTCACATCCAATCCCTCTGAGGACTTGAATGATTTCATATCGCCACCTAACAAGGTTTCCTCTGAGGATGCAGGTTTCAACCCACTAATGTTCACACTCTTGCGCCTTAGTGTAGAATTCCAATGGTTTTTAATTCCATTGTCTGTTCTACCTGGAAGAAGTTTTGCAATTGACGCCCACTTGTTTCCATGAACTGCATGGGCTGCTAAAATTATACGATCTTCTTCATCTGCAGAAGATAAGCTCAGTAAGACTTCACAGGAGTACCATATCATAATCATCATTTAGAATATTTCATGAGGAGAAAATTTTAAATGAGAACCTCCATCAATAATATACGTGTTAGATTTACAAAAACTATACACTTATTTTAGATTTTGATTTATGTTCTTACTCTATGATTAATTCAAGGTTAGAAATTTTAAGCATGAACACATATTTCTTATTAATGTGGAATTTGATCCACGATCTAAAGTGATATTGAGATTACTCCCTGATTGTCTCTGTCTCTCTCTTAATTCTTCTTCTATATTCTCTTTCTTGCTATCGTTCTCTTTCAAGTACATCAATAAATGATTTTTTATCTCTCCGGTTTTAGCTCTTGAACTAATGAATAATGAAGCAAGCTCAACCTTTTGTCGAGCATCCACTCATCCATCCATGAGTTAAAAAACATAAAGTTGGACTATCGAGTAAGAGGAAGATAAAACATATTGGGAATGTCAGGTCCTAATATTTGTATGGTCATGCAGTACAAATGGCTGCTAATGATTCCAAGGTCAATTTTCAATCATCTTTATATGTTCTATAAGAAAATTAAACTAAATCTTATTCTCAATATATTTAGGGTCAACTACATGAGTCATTTTTTGCCATTCAAATCCGTTTATTGCTAGATCTAAGTAGTTATCTAGAGCAACTAGATCTGTGTTTGTTGGATTTTGATACCCAATAAATCCCGGACGATAATATTAAATGGTTTGAATTAAGTTTCATAGGCGTCGGCCGATGAGTGAAATTATTATCAACACATCAATCAATTGGCTCAACCCAAAAACAACTTGGGGGTCTTTGGAAGCAACTTAATTATTAAGTTAATGTTGCTCACGACCTATTTACTTCTTGGATGGCTCTTTTTTATGTTCAGGCCCCTTTACCATTTGTTGGTCCATGAGCCCACTATTACAGCCCTCTTAAATTACACCCTAAATCTATATATGGCCTCATTTGTTGGAAGAAGCCGTGTGTGCAATTGTAAGAATAGAGGCAGCCAACCATTTTGAGTTTTCTCTCTTTGTGTTGGGAAAGCAAAACCTATCTTCCTCTCTTCTTGGTTACATATTGTAGCCACCTTATTGTTTCTTTGTGGATACATCGAGTTGAGCAACCGAGGTAAAACATAGTTGTGGATTAGAGTTGATTGAGTGTGTAGGATGTTGGTAAGTTGAAACTGAGCCCGGATTCCACAAAATTGAAGATCAATTCAACTACATTGTTCATTTCGGAGTACCTTCCTGTCTTCTAACTTGCTCTACCTCACTATTAAGAATGAGAGTGTTTTTGAGTTGACATAATTATAATACAATCATTTAAATCATTCTTCCCTTAATTTATCATCGATATGTGCCATCACCACTTCCACTTGTTGGTATATATTCTCATTTCACCTTATCTATTGTAGTATGACCAGACACCCATCCTAGGATCCCAATTTCCATTATATTCATCTTATGGACATCTTGCTCTTTAAGAGCTCAACAATTAAATCTATAAAGCGTAGTCGGTCTAATATTGTAATTGTTAAACCCTAATGGCATCTTCCCATCATTGTTCCCATAAAACTTCTTTATATGATGAATGTTCATGCGACACAATGAAATAAGTAGCCTGGTTCATTTTCGGGAGTGCTTTAAATTTACTATAGACCCTAAGAAAGGATCAACAAGCACAAGAAAACCAAAAGTTTTGGCTAAACAATAATGCTCCAAATATTTCATCAACAAATATAATAAACAGTCTCTTAAAAAAACTTAACATTCTCATCTAAAATGAGTTAACAACATATGCGAACGAGAGAGAAAACAGATATCCATTGTGTACACCATTTGTTGGTATGGGTTTAACCGCAATCCACCTTCTACAAAATTTATCTGGATGTGACCATTCTCATTCAAGTCACATAATGGATAGTAAAATGGATTTAATGAACCATCAAAAGAATTAGCTTCGACTACGGGGAATCTAGACAAGATTCACAACCATGCAAGATTTTAGTACTAAACTTTCTTGGAGAAATTGGCCCCCTTTTGTCTTTTCACATAAAAAAACCAAAGTGAAAACAGTTTTTATCCTTATTCAGTATTTGGAACATTATTTAATTATGTACTATTCTTGGTTCAAGTAGATTGCACAGACCAAACAACTAAGAAACAATTGCAAACCACATAATTCACCTAGCCCTTTAAAATTACTCATGCACAACCCAAACAAATTATTGTTACTCAACTAGGGTACATACGCCTTTTTTTGCTAAGAAATGCCAAATGTACAAGATATCATACTCACGAGAACATCTTCGATTATTTATAGTGCCACAAGAACTAACAGAAGGCACTTAAAGAGCTGGCTGACATATCAAATACCACATAGATGTTTTGGAGATGTTGATTGTAGGCTATGTGAACTTGCCCCGGTAGAGAAAATGGTAAATATACAAATTGATAAGACTCACTATTTTTGAATTCGGATCAAAACTAATGACCAAGTGAAGTACAAATCAGGATCTTATTAGGATTTGGAATCAGGAACCACGCCTCCCAGTATTAATTATTTAATTCATAACGAAACTATCAAGAGAAATAAGCATAGAGAATTACAAAAAGTACCCAAAACATTATCCATGAGAAGAAAAACAAAGACATCCCTCGCAGAATATGAGGTTGAAACAGATTTATTCAGAAGATTGAAACATTTAAAATAGCTCAGAAGGGCAAATTGAAATTGACCAATTTAAATAGGTCTAGTCCATGATATAGAGGGAATTATCATTCAAAGTGTACGAGAGATTGAATGACCATGAAAAGATGATCATGGCCAAAAATGTGCCAGAAAATGACAACAAAACCTATGCATTTATTAAACCTGTCTTGATAAGGCTTCCAAAAGAAGGTCCAAGAGTTGAATTACATATACACTAAATTAATAGCAAATGAACGTTTGAATTTTCAATCTTTTCAAATATGTATCGACAGAACCCAAATCATTGTCCAAGGGGTTAGTCTTCATCAGGGGAACTTCCCGTTTTATGTTCACCTAACATTCTGCATAACTAATGTTTTGAGAACACAAATTATTCCTCTATCACTTTCTAAAATATTTTCCAGCAAATTAAGGAAACCTAAAGCGTACATAAATCTCACAATTTTCACACTATAATTTCACAAAATCAGATAATAGAAGACACATATTCCATTCATGTCATATCAAAACTTCATCCCAAGCAGAACGACTCAAAGAGTTCCTCAAAAATACCGCTTGTGAAATCTAAATGGAAACCCACCACATACTGTCAGAAGGAAATTTCAGCCACATTCCAATTCCATGAGTTTCACTGGTCAAAGCATTGTCATAAGATCAAACCAAAATTTTACAGCTACTAACAAGAAACAGAACCGCAGGCCGGCAGCCTACTTTCTACCAAAAAGTATAATCTGCCTAAATCAAGTAAAATCATCTGCCTAAGTTGTCCTTTCCCATATTTATCATCTACTGGTACAACTAAAATGGCTGGAATATATTCCCAATTCTAATCTGTTTATCTAGTCACACATCAATCTAGACATACTTATTTCTGCAACGAAACGAAAGGAAATCTTTTAATTGTGCCAAGGCTACTTAAATAACTAAGAATGTTTTTAGATGCATCTATCATTTCCAATAGATCCTCAATCAAAATGTAACCAATATATTATTGTCAATTATGCTAAATTTTTTTAAAGAATTAATCAAGAATCTTTGACAGAAAAACTTATAAAATAGCATAACTATTTATGAATTTAAGTTCTGCTCCATTTATCTCATGCAAGATTTGATCTTGCAATAGGGATTCCAAATTTGAACATACACAATCTTTCAACTTCCCTAAAGTTTGGATCAAGCATATCTTACTTCAGATCAGAAAAAGCCAAGTTCACATACCCAGAAAGCAAAGGTTGAGCTGCTTTAATTTACAATTAAATGAAACTTCAGACCTCGGCAAGAGAATCCTAATCATTTTTTTTATTTTTTTTTTTGGCTAAGCAAGCTCCACAAGCTGCTATTATTGATCAAATTTTGTGCTCAAATACTGTACAAACCGCAGTACTTCAAGTCAAATTAGTATGAACCGGAGAAAAGGCTAGAATGTAATCATCAGACTCCCACACAACACCACCAACATATAGGAATGCTAAAACATAAACTTTAAATAAATCTCATTGCAAGCCTAACCGATGAACCATTCAACAACGGATGGAAAACCTTGTATTTGTGGGTTTCAACCAGTCTATTCTTAAACATGAGAAAATAAAAGCAGCATAAACCTTAAAATACCAATTTTATTTAGAAACTGAAGCTAGACTAAGGCATTACAAATGCTAAATTAAGCAAAACACACCAAAGCACTGAAACAACCCAAAAAATCATACCACTTTTCAACTCCCAAAGACAACACGACACCAAAAATGTCAAAAGAAAAAAGATACCAAAAAATTCATGTCTTCATAAATTCATTTGTATATCTAAATATACTAATAGTCGTAGATTTGCAATTACATCAAAATTACCGGTAAACGGTTTGCGCTTGACGCAAGGGTCGAGCTGATTACACCAGCGGAGGCGGCACGACTTCCCAGACCGACCAGGCATTCCCCTTGCGATCATGCTCCAATTCCTGGCCCCGAACTTACTCACCAGCCGGCTTAAAATCACATCCTCCTCCGGCGACCATGGCCCCCGAACCCTTCCCATTCCTCCACCACCAGTACTCTCCCGTTCTTCTCCTTCGTCATCCACCGATATTACATCAACAGCGATACCCTCCACCAACGGGTCAGTGAGTTTTTCTGTCTCGCTTGGCTGCTGCTCCGTCTCCCCCTCCATTTCTTTCACTCTTTTTTTTCTGTTATGAGAATAATTATGCGATGCAACCGCACCTGACAGCGTATAACTGCAAAATGCATTGAAAGCTGAAATTGATTTGGGTATATTACAGAGCGGTCCCTCAAAATTTTAAAATGCAGCACTTAAGTCACAATTTAGCTTTTACTAATATATAGGTCCCCAAACTTTCAGGTCCGATGCAAAAGAATAATGCTATTTGCAGTCGCTCACTGCGACAGTTGCCCTACTTGACATACACATGACAGGTGATTATTTGATGCATTAATGAATAAAAAAACTATCACATTAATACATCAAATAATCACCTATCATGTGTATGTCACGTAAGGCGACTACCGCAGTGAGCGATTGCAAATAGCATTACTCGATGCAAAACTATCTACTTTTTCGTCAACACCTCTAATATCTTCAACATTACTTATAAGTTGGACATATTTAATTAGATATTTATTCATTCCTAGCATTTTTTGTACCTTTCAAGTTGTTTTGAGTGTGTTTGAATCTCAATTTCATAAAAAATGAATTTTGTGATAATGATTTTTTTTAAATGTGTAATTAAAAATTAAGAAAAAATTTAGATTTACGTATCAAATTGTTTTATTGAAAGAATGAGTGATTAAAAATGAGTTTTGGAAAAAAAAAAATTAGAGAATGCGGGTCAAATACGGACTTAATTTGATGAAACTTAGTTGTATTCAATTTTAAATTCTTAATTCAAGTGAAGACTACATATTACCTTTAATATTGGGAAGAAAGAATTTACAATCCCTTTAATATTGAAAAGGGAATATATTTACGAATAATTGAAAACGAAGCGACTCAAATTTTGAAACTTTAGTTCTTTTTAGAAAAAAATATAGTGGTGCAAAGATAAATGTTATTTACGAAGAGGAGGAACGTGAAGTAAAAAACGATGCCCTCCAAAGGACCTCGAAATGTTGGAGGAAATCAAGAACTTTGTGTTGGCAACATATGCAACCGGAAAATGTTGGTGTGGAAAGGTATGGTAGGAAAATTTATAAAAGTCTAATAACTAGTTAATTATCGTTAATTAATCAAAAATTAATTAATTGTTATGGAAAAAAAGAGAGAGAAAGAGAGAAGAGATGATAACAGACAATAGATTTTTTATTAAAAACCAAAATTTTATATTTTTAAGGAAGAATTAGGGATACAATGGTAATAATTTATAGGACTGCAAGAGTGCAACTGTCATTCACTAATAAACTTATCATGTATAACACTCCTTTAAATGATACACTACAAAATATCGGTCTCGTTAAAAAATTGTTTAATAAAAATTCAATGGGAAAAAAAAATCAAAGGAAAGAAAAATAGTACAATCATTTTGAAGTATAAAAAATAAATATTGTCTCACTAAAACCTTACTGGGAAAACTCGGTAAAATAAAACCTAAGTGAAGGAAAATGAGTACAACCACTTCCTTAATGTTCATCACTGAAAATTTTTAAGTCGATGCAATTCCAATTTTATGAACCAATTCTTGAATATAGATGTCGGCAATACTGTTGTAAATAAAAAATCGGTCACATTGTCACTTGAGTAAATCTATTTGACATCGATATCGTCATTCTTTTGAAGTTTATATGTATGAAAGAATTTTGAAGAAATATATTTCATCCCGTCACCTTTGATATAGCAAAGGGCGAATCCAAGATCGAAATCCAAATAGAGCGGGTTCACTATTGACCATTGACCGTCAACGATCGTAATAGTCCGATCGTTTATTAAAATTTGGTTACATAATATTAATAATCATAACTCACAAAATATAAATTACTTATCATAAATCACAATTTGCAAACATAATTTCGTAAACATAAATTCTCAAATCAATAATCATTTCTTATCAAAACATAAATTACTTATCATAAATTACAATTCACGAATATAATTTCGTAAACATAAATTTCCAAATCAATAATCATAACTCATAAAACGTAAATTACTTATCATAATTCATAAATCACATATCGCAAATTTTTAATTCCCAAATGAATAAATCATAACATAATTAACATTAACTTAAGTTACTCAATACTCATCACTCAACATCAACAACTCTAAGTCAAATAGACAACTAGTAGGCTTGCCAAAACAAAATAGAACAAAACCAAAATAGCAAAAAAAAAAAAAAAAAAAAAAAAGAAACAACTCTAAGTCAAGTAGACAACTAGTAGGCTAGCCAAAACAAAATAGAATAAAACCAAAATAGCAAAAATAAAATAGAACAAAAACTGGGAAAAAAAAAAGAGGGAGAAAGAGTCACCAACTCGAGCTCGAGAGTAGAAGGCAAACGAAACGGCAGTCAATTGGCACTTGACTTAGGGCTCTGGCAAATGCTGCCTCTTCTTTGATGGAGTATTTGGTGCAATTTGCCTGGACTAGAGGTTGGAGCTCAGCTAGGCCGTGTCTCGTGTGCAGGGGCGAAGGAAGAAGTGAGGAATCTGGAAAAGGGTTTGGCAATTTGGCTTCCACAGTTTCACTTCCACTATTTGGAAATTGATTTAGGCATTTCAGATTATTGGGTCTTGGCTACTTGGACTTTGATAAATGAGGAATCTGGAAAAGGGTTTGGATATAATTTGTCATATTCCCTAATCATACACATTCTCAGCCTGCTTCATGGATTGCAATAATTTTAAAATAATTTGAGAACGTTGCTGTTAATGATTGCTTCATAGATATCCATGATATAACAGTTCCTCCACGTATAAACACAAATCTTGTTTGTGATTTAACATTATGTGTGTCAGAGAGATAACTGGCATCTGTATATCCCACTAAAGTAAATCTCGACTTTTGAGAATAAAATAATTTCAAATCAATAGTGCCCTTTAAGTAACCAAAAAATATGTTTAATACCATTCCAATATCTTTGAGTTAGTATAGAGATAAATCTTGCAAGGAGATTTACGGGAAAACTATGTTGGGTCAAGTGTAATTTGCAAGATAAGTTAATACTCCAATTATACTAAGATATGATATTTAAGGACCAAGAACTTTTTCTCCATCTTCAAGTGGACAAAATTGATCTTTTTTCACATCAAGTTATCGAACAACCATAGGTGATACCAATGGATATGCACTATCCACATAAAAATGTTTTAAGACTTTTTTCTGTATATGTGGATTGATGAATAAATAATCATTATGGTAAATGTTCACTTTGCAACCCAAGATAAAATTTGATTTTTCTCAAATCTTTCATCTTAAATTCATTTTCAAATAGTCAATAGTTTTCTTGAATTCTTTAGGAGTTCCAATTAAATTTAAATCATTAATATAAACTATCACAATTGCAAAATCAAAATTTTTTCTTTATGAAAATATATGGACAAATATAATTGTTTTTATAGCATTCCTTCAACAAATATTCACTAAGATAATTATACCACATGTGTCCATTTTATTTGGTTAATCATTACTTCAATCGATATACTTTGATGCATTTATTTTGATTCTCTACTATATGATGCAATCATATGCAAAATTGTAATCGACAATTTTTTTTCTATAATGACATAATTTTCTTGAGATATCTCAAATTTCATTATTTCATATACATGAATCTCTTCTAAGGGTTTATAATTTGTTATATTTAAATAATCATCAAGAGTATATATCTCCTTAATATGACTTTTTTTATGATTGCTCCATTTGAAAATTCACGCTTCAGGCGTGTTATTGATATATCAAATATAGTGCTAACAAATTATACTTATAGAACATCAATTCATGTTGGAGCATTTAAACTGGTACGTGAGATATTGTTTATTTCTTTAATTAGTAAATGTATCTAAATAAATTATTTTTCGAACTTTTGGTTCGAATGATATTTTGCGAGGATTTAGATGATGATGCATTTATACATTATTTTTAACTTCTTAATTCTTCCATCTAATACTGAGAGTATTGTTCAATCAAATTGACAATTATTTTTTTAGCGTTATTAAATATTGTCCATTTGGAATAAGGGTTCAAACTATGCATTTATTCTCAGCATTCTGTATTTTTCATCTCAGTGCATAGTAATAGTTCAATTTTACATATACTACACTATAAAAATAATTAGATGGATAAATTAGACTCTGGCCACAAACTAATTATAATAGGGAGAATTATGATTTTGGCATAATGCGTAATAAAAATCCCTAAATAAAAATAAATGTGAAATACTATGTTCTCAATTAAATTCATTGAAAACATTTGACAAACAATAGTGTTAAACCATTTATCGCCATCCCAACTAACATTTATTAAAATGTAGAGATTTGTGTTCACTGGCATTAACAAGATACAATCCCGATTATATAATTTGAAATTTATACTCATAATTTAAAATATGAGCAGTAATTTCGCAAATTTTAGGTTGCGAACACCATGTGATCATCTAGTATATGTATTAAATTTATTAGATAAAATAATAATTAGATAATCAACGTGAAGGATAATGGGCACCCTAATTAATTTTTAGAATTATAAGGAATTCTATCTCTATTTTAGCTAATGATAGTTAATAAATAAAAAAAATCATGAAAGAGAACAAATATCATATATGATTGAATTGAAGAATCTCCTAGTTCTTCATTGAATATTCATTTGAATTTTTAATTTCATATCATTATTAATTCAGCAATGATCCAACTGGTCATGCAAAACAATAAAATCAAATTGAACTTCTGGTTCAATGTAAGATATAATTTCATGATTTAATTTCGAAGAATATGATTAAAACTTGTATAATTATATATCATTCAAATAATCAAACTAATCGATGTCCTCATGACATTGGTTATACGTTCTTCGTTCAAGGATAAACACGAATTCAAAATGATATATTTTTCGAAGCACGTTGTATTTTACTATCGTTTCTTCAAGAGCAATATATCAATATTTTTCGAAAATATTGAAAATTATAATTTATGCTTTTTAGGAACAAGTAATATATTTTTTAAAAATATTAATTATAATATTGTGTTACTTAAAGAGTAGCAAT